GTATTCTCTGCGAAAGGACGGTTGCGGAAGACATCTCAACTATATCAACTCAAACTGAGTTTACAGTAGCAGCTCAAGCAGCTCGTGAGCAAGGTAGATCTGTTGTGAGACAAGTGGCTCTCTAGACCACGATGCACGATATCTAATCGTTTAATAATCAACACTACATTTTTTCCAAAGCATTAGCAGCTAGAACTAGATCCTCTCAATGTTGGATTGTGATGAAAGCTTGTACTACCCACTTGTCAGTCCGGATCCTTATTTGTACGGTCCCTTACTCCACAATAACGGCTTTGTCTCTACAGCTCACACCTCAAAGTTCGAAGACTTCAAACAATTGTGCGATTCAAACTGTATACAGTACCGAAGGAATCAGCACTGATGACAACACAGACAAGATTGGCCTGATTGAACCGTGCATAGAACTTGATCAAAGTATGCATTTTTGTTATTTGAGGTTTCTATTGCGTGCTGAAATTATTGCATTATCTGGATCCGTGCAATCGTCATTGATAAACTATACCAAAATTACACCTCTGAACTGTATGAGTCACTTCTAAACCATTGATTGCCCCCATATACCCAACGTTCTCTGACGAAGCGGATAAGCTCTTAGTCCAGTGCGCATACGAATATGCCCCGCAGAAACGGCGGGTCCTGTGGTCTGACGTCACACGGAGACTCCACAAGAATCGCGTCAAAAAGTCGACCAAGAAACGGGAGACGCGATTTCGCACTTTTAAGCGTGGTCATGGGACAGACCTGTCGAAATTTCCTCGTTGTTTCTACGGAGAGTCAAAACACCGTGCTATCTGCCCAAATCGCTCAGCACCGAAGCCGCCAAGTACCCGCGTCCTTGATTTCCAGACAGCGGCACGCCTCCTTTCAACCATCTTTGGATCGGTTACTCAAGATGATTTCGACAGAAGGCCGGTGTAATACATGAGAACGCTGATGAGCTTCTTTCAAAGGCGGTGGCTACGACTTTTGGATACGATCGGTCCCGTTGTAGCTGAATTAATTATTCTAGAGTTGGCAGTGGAATTCGTAACATTATTGCTCAAATCGCGCTTCAGATGCCTGCTCAACTTTCGATTGGTGTCGAAATCCGTTCCGAGTTAACGAGTCTGGGCTGTCAATTGATCAAGAGATACTCAAATGTGGAGTCATTGCTCAAGAAAGGTTTGCTCAAGAACGGTGACGCAAAAACATGTGGCCTATCTACGAACCCACCGTTTTGCTATGCATCGACCGTGTACTTGAACAGCTTTCTCTTCGTTGACGAAGTAAAGATGTTTGTGTTGAGCGAGATGTGCTTGCTTCCTCGTGGCCGGATTGTTTATATCGACAGAAGTGTATTGCCCAAGGCATCGGCCTTCTTGCAGAAGTAACTTTTGCGCCAAATGGCAGATGCAACAAGTGATACGTGGGCCTGCCAATTGGACGACTAAAACAATCAAAATATAAATATATGAACGCATCAATAAATAGAGAAGTGTTTCGTTGTGATGGCTATCCAACAACTAGAAACGAAAAGCAACGAATGCCCTCAATCTCACGCTAGCCAAAGCCACATCTTCTATAACGAATAGGATGTGTCCCAGTAGCCACCTTCCAATCCAAACGCAATTCGCCTCGGGAATTACAGCCACGTGCGACTCGATCGCGCCCAGCTCGCCAACCTGTACAACCCATACACAGCAGCCACACCAGCCACAACGTCAGTTTGGTGACCATCTCCATTCATGCCCAGCACCCATACGCACAGCTTACC